CGCGCAACCACTCACGGTCGCACATCAAGACCATGTCGAAGTCAGACAGACGAGAGTGAGACACGGTCAAAAACGTGCTTCTTGAGGAAGACCCCTGAAAAAAGTAGCTTCTTGCCGGAATCTTGGAGCGACTGATGATGTACTCAGCTATCCTCCTTGCCCGCGCTTCTTGATTTGATATGCTCCCGGACATCTCTGCGCCTCCAGCATCAGGTCCGAAATCCCGCAAGATGTCTTCTTCGAGCCGGATGCGGTAATGCGCATTCCAGGCCGCGTCTACGTCAACAACCGGCGCTGGCACGACTTCGCCCTCAATCTCCACAGCACCAGGCACACGCAGGCTGGAGCGAAGAGGCCCGGGAGTTCCAGAAAGCCCCGCCGAAGTGAGAGCGGCGCCTTGTCGAGGAGGCCAGGTTGCAGTGAAGATGCAAAGCAGCAAGCTCAAGCTTAATCTTCGCCGCTGCACCCTCTGCCATGATCTCTTAGGAGGCCACATTCTCGATGGAGCTGTGAGGTTGTTTTGGCACTGCGCTCGCCGGCGGCTGTGATCCAAGATGCTCCGGTGGGGCTTTGGGGTCTTGGGCTTCAAGGATCCGGGTGCGCCCCCAGACCGAAGAACGAACGCCGGTGTTGGGATCTGATTGGCCTGTGGGCCTATCTTGAAGTAACCTACATACCCCAAAAAGGGGAAGTCGTCTTGCCATCTTTCCCTTTCTCTGGGTACATAGGCTACCCTACACCCTATAAACCCTAAACCCTAAACCCTTGTTGAAGCTCACCTATGTCGGATTCTGCACCTAGTCTCGTGAAACTACAGATCGCAGGGGCTTAGCTTTTGTTTAAGGTTAAGGGTTTAGTGATTAGGGTTCAGGGTTCAGGGTTTAGGGTTCAGGGTTTAGGGCATAGGGTTTAGGGTTTGGGGTTCAGGGTTTCTTGGCGTGGACCCTTCTCCTCGCTCGCCTCCTCGCCCATCAGACCCCCAGAATGTCTCCAGAGAGTCCCTGGATTGCCCAACACAAGAGAATGCTGAAAGAGTCGCCGGAGTGCCCAAATCGAGAGTATCCCCAGAGAGTCTCTGGAGTGCCCAACCCCAGCTGATCCCAACAGAATTCCCAGAGTGTCCCTGGAGTGCCCAAGCCCAGAGTGAGCTCGCTAATTCCTTGCCTGCGGGGTGGAGACGTTCGAAGTAAAATATTTTGGGTTGCTTCAGGGTCTGGAGTTTAGGGTTTGGGTTTAGGGTTTAGGGTTTAGGGTTTAGGGTTTAGGGTTTAGGGTTTAGGGTTTAGGGTTTAGGGTTTACGGTTTAGGGCTCAGGATGGGGCCCTGGGGATGCATCAGGACTTGTGATACTCAGTGCGCCCATACTCGAATTCAAAAGGAGTGCCGTTGTGGCTCCCTTTGCACCCTTGCAGCATACAACTAGACGCCCTACAAACCCTACAAACCCTAACCGCCTTAAAGCCCTAAAGCCCAAAACCGACCAAACCCTGAACCCTAAACCCTAATCCCTAAAGCCCAAAACCTGGTCAAACCTCGGTCTCCGCCGCTCCTGGTCATCTCTTTTCTCCCCAGACTCCAGCAGCCCAAACAGCCACATCAAAGGAGGGTTTAGGGGTTTGTAGGGTTTAGGGTTTGGGGTTTGGGGTTCAGGGCTTAGGAGAGCAAAAAGGCCAGGTGGGACTCGCAGCGGCACGACACAAGCCAAGAGCCTCCAAGTTTCTACCAAGTGGATAGCTTGGGATGTTCCCCCTAATGCTAACAGTCCTTTATACGGATTATGGTACCCCCTTGTCATAATCCCTCTTCTGGACTGTCTGTTAGTATAAGGGGGAACATCCCACTGTACAGCCATAAGGATTGAGGCTTGAGGGTGGTTTTAAGGGTGTTCAGAGTCACCGAATATGCCCCTGAAAAGGCAAAGATGTCAACAATACAGTTTTCTGTAAGGGCACGTAGGTTCTCCGAAGTAGCTTTTTTTTTTTTTTTGTTTGGGGGGGGGGGGGGGCTTTCTGGCACCCCACGAAATGGCGAGTCGCAACCGGCGCATCAAGTAAATTCTGCGCGCCCATCCGGCTGCTTCAAAAAAGCAAGCCACCAGCAGATGCCTTCGCACCCACCACTGTGGGCATTCACAAAACTTGGGATCAAGGCAGTCCTTCGCTCTAAGAAATATTCAACATACACCTCTGACATACCCTGAAACGGAAGTAAGGGCCATGGATCATTCCTTGCATTCTCCTGTTTATACCTTAAGGGGTCTGGGCTTGGGGTGTTCCCCCGTATTCTAACAGTCCTTAACAGGGATCATAACAGGGGTACTATATTGAGTAAACCCTAAACCCTAAACCCTAAATCCTAAACCCCTGAACCCTAAACCCTAAACCCTAAACCTCTGAACCCTAAACCCCTAAACCCTAAACCCTAAACCCTTGGATGTGTTGCATTGTTCTTAGATTCTCTGCCCAGATCCCTAAATGCTAGACAAGGTGTCACTGTCGGAGCGGGGCAGGATCTCCCAAAGGGAGGTCCTGGTTGCCAGAGACCCAGATCTTCCAAAAACAGGGTGCAGGGTTTAGGGTTTAGGGTTTAGGGTTTAGGGTTTAGGGCTACTTTCCTGCAAACCATGTTGGGGACTCGTACTAGAGTTCTTGCGGCATCGTTGTGAAACTACGCCTGTTTTGGAGGATCTGCGTGGTTGCGAGATACTCCAGACGAGCTGTGCTTTGAACTGCTAGGGTTTGCGAAGCCTTCTACAAGCTACAGGACATTCGTCCGAAATCCTAAACCCTAAAGAATCCCCAAATCATCCAGCTACTGTAACCATATTATAATAAGGGTGACCTTTTGGGCTTGGTTACATTTCCAGGGGAACCCAGAGCCCAATGGGCAAAAGGGTACCACTGAGCTACCAGGTCGCAACTTCGATTTCCTGAGCCCAAAGGGTTTAGGGTTTAGGGTTTGCGGTTTATAAGGGTTTAGCCCTCCGCCCGAGCGTTGCGCCGCAGTTAGGGTTTAGGGCTTAGGGCTTATTTCGGGTTTAGGGTTTTTGGAAAACACGATCCTGATAAATGACAGTTGGGAGTGCTGCCTCAACGCTGGAAGTACTGTAAATAACGGGTAAAAAATCATGTTTCTAAGCCTGCTCACACATCGTCCGCGGCAGCACGTCCGGGTAGGGAAGCTAACCACAGCTCAAGCAGTGAACATTGAAATCTACCAAGCTTGAAAGGACTGAGTGCGGTGCGAGCACGTCTCCACCAACCATTCAAAACCCTTGAGGTAGGAGCAACATCGGCACGCACACCTAGACCGAGTAACCTAGGAATAAAACGGGCGCCCTTTTTGGTCTTAAAGGGCTTAAAAAAGGTGCCTAAACCCTAAACAATGGCAGTACGGGCCTACTCTGCCGCGCACAAGGATATGCTTTGATACGATCCTCTTAAACTTAAAAACCAAGTCAGGGCAAATACCCTAAACCTTAAACCCTAAACCCTAAACCCAAGGCCCTACGTAGACATGGCGTCTATCTAGATACAGGCGATGGATGGATAGCAAGGGTTTAGGGTTTAGGGTTTAGGGTTAGTTGCCTAAGCTATGGTGCCGAGTGCTACTTGCAGCTTGTTGACCCAGTTGAACCAGAAAGCTTAAGAACCTGCTCTGAAGCTGCATGACTTCACCCCAAACCCCAAACCCTAAATCTCTTAACCTTTACACCCTAAACCCTAAACCCTAAACCCTAAACCCTAAACCCCAAACCCTAAACCCTAAACCCCCTGTGCCGCTTGGCACCAGAGTCTCGCAAGCCACCCAGTTCTGCACCCAGTTCTGGGAATGCACATGGGTAAAATTGTGATGACCCAAGCCTGCTTGGAGGGGGGTGGAGGGGTTTACAGGGTTCAGGGTTTACTTGGAGGTTCAGGGTACTTATACCCCGAGTTATAACTGCAATTAAAATCCCCCTAAGTCCCCTAAGTAGGTGATAAGTAGACTTATAACTGTGGTTATAAGTACCCATGAACCTCCAAGTAGGGTGTAAGATTCACGGGTAGTTCTAGGTAGGGTTGTACGTACCCTACGTAGGGTCACAAGTGTAGCTGCCCTACTTGTCACCCTACGTCCAACTACCCTCCAAGTGCTGAAAAGCTGCAAAGTATCGAACAAATCTAGAGTAACTTACGTGCCCCGAAAACAGGGAAAGCTATGAACTCGTTGTTCAAGGGGATGTAGGCTTCTCGAGATACCTAAAGTGGGTCCGGAAATCGGAACAATCCCTGTGCGAGCCGTATCTCAGACAAGGAGTTGGCTCTGAACAATTCCTAAATACGATTTTCTTGTACCCAATAAGGGAAGATACATGGGCATTTTCCAAAACCGGACCCCCCTTTATGTAGCCCCCCCCCCCCCCCCCAACCCCCCCCCCCCCCCCCCACCCCAAAAAAAAAAAAGGAAACAAAAAACGAAACCCCAAGAACTACACGGCGAACCCTGAACAGCCCTAAACTCGAAACCCCTCAACAGGCAAGAGCGAAAAGTGGCTTGAAGCTCTGAAGCCCTAAACCTATCGCCTACATTTACGCAGGGGCCCTGGCTGCAAATAAAGCTAGAGGCCCAAGTAGAGTGCCCTCAGAGGGAACATTCTAAGTGTCACCAGAACCCTATTAACCCGAATGCCCCTGACCAATTTAGGATTACTTGGAGGTTCATGGTACTTACTGACCAATTATAACTGTACTTATAACCCTACTCATAATAACCCCAAAGGGCCTTATAGGGGGTATCCCAATTATAAGTAGGGTTATAAGCCCAGTTATAAGTGGTTATTAAGTCCCATGAACCTCCAAGTAGGGGCGGTCGCAAGAATTACTAACATCATTCCCTTAGGGTCCCTTTATAAAATATACTATAATAACCCCCAAAGCCCTATTCGAATTATTCAGGCCCCTATATTATGCCTTATTGCGGGGCTGTAGACTAGTGTTGTGCTGGGTCTGATGACCAGATCACCATTCAAGCTGGTGTTGGCCAATCTTGGCAGAGCTCTCAGAGTAGAACTGGTTGTACCACTCAAAGAAGTCCATAAACGGGCCGTCTCCTGGGACCATGAAGAACTCACCCGAAACACCACAAAACCCTAAACCCTAACCCTAAGCCTTCTTCTTATTATGATTACTGCATACGCAACATGTGCTTTGGCAGTCTTTCCCAGCCCCAATGGGTAGCCTCAAAGATTGTGAGGGGCAGCATTCTCTTGGGCCAACCCGAAACCGTTAGGTTGATGTCTTGCATCAACAATCATGTAGTAATATTTGGAGATACGACTTTTGAAAAAATGGAATTAAATCAAATGATACAAATGTGTTTACTACAGCTGTAAAACCAGGAAGAATTGAAGAACATGAAGTATCATCAAGAAATGATACTAGTCCCCTCCCCCAAAATCTAAACCCCACCCTACTTCTAAATATTATTTTTCCCGGACCCTCCCGGGACCCGGCCCAATACTAAACCTGTTTGAGAATTGGGGTCGAGGGCCTCCGCTCTTGAGTTGAGCCAGTAGGTTTTTCGATTAGGGCTTAGGGCTTAAGGCTCAGAGGATTTGCAGGGTTTAGGGCTCGAGGCTCAGAGGGTTTAATTAGGATTTAGGGCTTAAGGCAAACCCTAACTGAACCCTGAACCCCAAACCCCAAACCCTATACTCCCTCAGACTTCAGGTTTTAGGGTTTAGGTCCCCCCTAATTTAAAATATTTCCGGCCGAGGCGAATTTTAGAATTGCGGGGGGGGGGGGGGGGGGGGGGGGGGGGGGCGGATGTAGAATTAGGGGGACGGGATTACATCAGAATCAGATGTTCGTGCAAACGAATCAGATAATGGGTGAAGCCCTGACCACCATCCTGAACCCTAAGCCCTAAACCCGAAACCCCAAGCAGGGTTTAGGGTTTAGTGCTCAGGGTTTGGGGAGAAAGCGGAACATCTCCTCCTTCAACTCAGCTTAAGGAGCAGGCGCGGGTTCAGAATGACCGCCCCGATTAAACTCTAAGCCCTATGAACTCTATCAACCCTAAACCCTAAACCTCAGACCCTAAACCCTAAAGTCCCTAAACCCCTGAATCCTACACCCGCACCCCTCCCGGCATCGCCCCACCTTCGACCATCACCGGGTTCTTCCAATATATCTTGTTCTCCCACACCTGGAAAGGGTTTAGGGTCTTTGGGGCTGATTTATGGTCCCTGTTTTGGGGTTCCTGTTACCAAACGGGACCCGCGCTGGGAAATGCACGCTGCCACGCACTTCTTGGGGAGGCATTCATAGGACTCCGCTCCCGACTACCTTAAATTCGCATTGAAAAGGGGAAGGTGGGGTGGTAGGGGATCCGAATAACAAGAGCAATCACCCTCTCAAGTGTTTCAACCCCGGAGACCCTATCATTCTACGCCCAAAAGTCCCCAAATACCTTGGCAAGTGTGTGTGTGTGTGCCACAGTTGAGGAGTGCAAGTGCCCCACCCCATCCCACTCCTCTACGCATTGACGTTGCGGGTGCAGGAGCTTTTACGGTTGAGTTTAGGAGTCAGGCGTGAGGACTTTGCACAGTACTTGGCTTTGGTTTGGGAATTCTGTAGGGCCTCGTTGGGTTTGGTGTCGCGATACCCCGGGGGGTGGGGGGTCTTCGTGGTTTAGAAAGTAAGATGGTGAACTTCTCTGACCATGATGATCCGGGACACAAAGGGCTGTCTCTTCAATTCTAGACACCTCGCATCCCGTAAATTAGACAACATTCCATAAGTTGCAACAAGAATCCGAACATTTAAGGAGAATTCCTGAATTCTCGGCCAAAATGCCTAAACCCTAAACCCCTAAACCCGACAGGTCGTTGCCGCGCGCCTGCCGATCCTGCTCCACCGCAAATTTGCCTTGGACCGGCAAGCTTCCAGGGCTTAGGGTTTCGGGTTGGAGGTTCGTGGGTGGTTGGAAGTAGGGTTACAAGTGCCGTACAGGAGAGTTCTAAGTATAGTTACCATATGTTACCATGCTTATGATCCGACCTATAACTACCCATGAACCAGTAGGAAGATTGAACAGCCGGAACAGCGCTTAGGGTTTGGGGGAGATCTTTTATAGGGTGTTCCACAATTTTTGGGGTGTAAATACTGAGTTCATGAAGAAGGGAACCTCACACACAAGTAACAAGGTCCTAGACCATATATAAAAGAGGCTTACTAGCTCCAGAACCATTCAGCCCAAAACACTCAAGCCTACACCCTGAACCCCTATTCCGCAAACCCTAACCCTAAGGCTCCAAAAGGCCGAAAATAGGTCAAATGTACAGAAATTGGACCTCGATGTAGGTACTTTTTATACTTAAAGCTCTAGGGTAGACCTTCAACCCTGAACTGGACCCCAAGAACCCTAAACCCTAAACCCTAAACCCTAAACCCTAAACCCTAAACCCTAAACCCTAAGGCCCTACATGGGGCCCTTTCTCAAACCTGGCATAGAAAACATCTGAGCCCTGGCAGCTCTCAGCGCTTGGCCTCCCTTGGGCGTACATTGGGCCTGCTTAGAAGTTCAGACCCTAAGCCCCAAACCCTAAACCCCAAACCCCAAACCCTAAACCCTAAACCCTAAACCCTAAACCCTAAACCCCTGCCCGCCCCAGATTTTTTTGGCCCAGGACGCCTATCAAACTCAGCAGGTAGGCGATGATCCTGGGCACCGACCTGTCGGCATACCTGAGAACACATTTAGGGTACCTGTAGGGCTTAGGGTTTAGGTTTTAGGGTTTAGTGTCTCCCAGACCCGTTCATTGAGGAACATTCCTTAACATCTACGTATAAGGATCCCTTATATGGTTTAAGGGATATTCCGTAATCAAGGGGTATTGGAGTCTCCGGGTGCTGTATAGGGTTTAGGGTTATAAGCCATAGGACCAAGCCACACGGCTAGATGGTGATGCGCGAGAAACGGGGATTGAGATCCCCAAGCCCTAACCCTAAACCCTAAACCCTAAACCGTAAAACCCTATACCCTATACCCTATACCCTATACCCTATACCCTATACCCTACACCGCACCTCAGAGCCTCGGGTCTTAGGGCCGTCGGGGCTTACTAGCTCTGACTTCAAGGCAGGGCAAGCTTTGCCCTCCTAAACCCTAAACCCTAAACCCTAAACCCTAAACCCTGAAACAGCAGCAGTGATGCCTGGGACTGGGGCTCAGGTGTCTAAAGCATGCGCCAAACCTCTAAGCCCACCCCAAGTTTATGGGTTGCTCTTGGAGATTCAGGGGTGTAGGGTCTAGCGTTAGTAGAAGTACATTATATATATATATATATGTATATATGTATATATGTATATATGCATAAAAGTATATATGTCTAATCACATAGCTATACTTCTAACCCATACTCAAGGCTACCCATGAACCTCCAAGTAATCTCTTAAAGGACCATGTGGGGGGGGGGATATATCTGGAAAGTCATGGGGGGTGTGTGGGGCTAGAATCAGACATTTTGACTATACAAGGTATACTGTTGCGCCCCGGCAGGCCCCTTCCTCTCTCCCCTCTCCCCCCGCCCGAACGCACAGCGCACAACCATATAGGAGGGACGATAGAGCCCTTAATCGAAGTTTCCCTTCGCAACCCTAAACGAAGCAACCCTAAACGAAGATTCTCTAAACCTAATGCGGGGGCAGATGTAAAATCCGAATCACAGCTGAACATGGACCCAGCGTGCAGTCGTAAGGGGCCAGGATCCTACACCAAACCCGAAACCCTGAACACTAGGAGGTGTAAAGCGGGAGGTGTAAGGGAGGGCGTCATGGGTCCATGTTCCCGTTTGGGGAATGCGGGCTCTTACGCGCCCTCCCCCCGCCCTGGTTCCTGACGAGAGTGGTGCACAAGACATGGGCCAAGCACAATCAACCCTGAACGCTAAGCCGCTAAACCCCACTGTGGGGTGTGACCCTAAACCCTAAACCCTAAACCCTAAACCCTAAACCCTAAACCCTAAACCCTAAACCCCTTCGACGCGGGCGAGAAGCCAGTACATCTCGACCTGCTGCTTGAAGGGCTCAATCGGCAAGATGGTCCTGAGCATGCAATCCCTAAACCCCAAACCCTACACCCTGCCTAATTCGTCCCTTTCTTGTAGGTACGCCTTTGGGGTCGGGGCAGCATTGCACACGAAGTAAGCAGGTTACTGCGCCAGGACGAAAGTTCGTCGCATCGGGCACTTATGCCAGCGTGTACGTGCAAACCCCCCCACCCCCATAGACTCCTCCACAAGATGTGCCTCTGGGGCGCGGAGGATTTTAAGTCCTCCGTCGGAAGAAAAAGGTAATATATGTTTAAAACAGCGCGGAAATTCCTCCGCTGGCCAGGCCACAGAAAATGCACTTCCGCGTACTCCGCGTCCTCCACTAGCGCAAGATATGCAAGTGCGACAAAACTTTCTGCCTCCTGATGCTCCCGCCCCACTCAACATGAATAGGGACCCGTGCAAGTTTCCTGCAAGGCAACATTTCCGTGCAGGTGTCTGTATCGGTCTTGGAGTTCATGCTGCGCCAGGACGAAAGTTCGTCGCATCGGGCACTTATGCCAGCGTGTACGTGCAAACCCCCCCACCCCCATAGACTCCTCCACAAGATGTGCCTCTGGGGCGCGGAGGATTTTAAGTCCTCCGTCGGAAGAAAAAGGTAATATATGTTTAAAACAGCGCGGAAATTCCTCCGCTGGCCAGGCCACAGAAAATGCACTTCCGCGTACTCCGCGTCCTCCACTAGCGCAAGATATGCAAGTGCGACAAAACTTTCTGCCTCCTGACGCTCCCGCCCCACTCAACATGAATAGGGACCCGTGCAAGTTTCCTGCAAGGCAACATTTCCGTGCAGGTGTCTGTATCGGTCTTGGAGTTCATGCTGCGCCAGGACGAAAGTTCGTCGCATCGGGCACTTATGCCAGCGTGTACGTGCAAACCCCCCCACCCCCATAGACTCCTCCACAAGATGTGCCTCTGGGGCGCGGAGGATTTTAAGTCCTCCGTCGGAAGAAAAAGGTAATATATGTTTAAAACAGCGCGGAAATTCCTCCGCTGGCCAGGCCACAGAAAATGCACTTCCGCGTACTCCGCGTCCTCCACTAGCGCAAGATATGCAAGTGCGACAAAACTTTCTGCCTCCTGACGCTCCCGCCCCACTCAACATGAATAGGGACCCGTGCAAGTTTCCTGCAAGGCAACATTTCCGTGCAGGTGTCTGTATCGGTCTTGGAGTTCATGCTGCGCCAGGACGAAAGTTCGTCGCATCGGGCACTTATGCCAGCGTGTACGTGCAAACCCCCCCACCCCCATAGACTCCTCCACAAGATGTGCCTCTGGGGCGCGGAGGATTTTAAGTCCTCCGTCGGAAGAAAAAGGTAATATATGTTTAAAACAGCGCGGAAATTCCTCCGCTGGCCAGGCCACAGAAAATGCACTTCCGCGTACTCCGCGTCCTCCACTAGCGCAAGATATGCAAGTGCGACAAAACTTTCTGCCTCCTGATGTATTTCAGATTTCGCTGCTCAATTGCTAGATTTCTGGAATGGCACGAGCATGTTAGCGGTCCGTGAGAACGCCAATCCCCCTAAACCGCCTAAACCCTACCACATCCCTTCCATCCGCGCAGGCGGCGAAACTTGAGCCAGGCTTCCCTCAGTTCCTTGCCGGTTTAGGGTTTAGGGTTGGGATGTTCCCCTCATACTAACAGTCCTTAATAGGGATTGTAATAGGGGGAATTAGTACCCCTACTGCGGACTGTTAGTATAAGGGGAACATCCCAAGTTTAGGGTATACGTGCTCAAAGCAATGTAGACAATGGGACTGGCTTTAGAGGGCTCAGGAGTAGGTTTAGTTAGGGTTTAGGGGTTCTTTGGCGTCAGGATATAGGGATGCAAAAGTGCATGCAATGCATGATGGTCCGGTCCAAGTCCCATGTGATCCGCCTGCCCTATTTCAGGGGTGCACAAAAAAGTAAACAACACACATGCGGAAAGGCATCCCAATATTTAGGGGATGTAAGTCAAGGTTCAGAGTTTTAGGTTTCTCAGGGTTTCAGGAGTTGGGGAGCAAACCCTAAACCCTAAACCCTCAAGCCCCCTGTAACTTGAAATTATTAAGAAAATCCAAAAAACGAAACTCCTCGAAACTCTCCCAGGACCTGAACCCTTTACAATTTCAATAAACCCTAAACCTCCTGTAAGGGCCGCCGGGGAACTTCACCTGACGGATCGTCCCCAGAGGCGTCACCAGACGGAAGTGCATCCTCAAAAGGGCACCAATTGGTGAAGGCTTTAGGGAGTGAGGGTTCAGGGCTCAGGGCTCAGGGCTTAGGGTTTAGGGTTTAGGGTTTAGGGTTTCAGGCTTTGAGGGTTTCGCGCCTGAAGAAGGAAGAGCTCAACTGCCTCACTGACACAGCATGATCAGGACTATTTGGTTGCCCCTCCCCACGCCCTTGCCTCCACCTTGCCCCCCACAAAAGAGGAACTACTCGGGTCCTCATTGTAGGGCCACAAAAGGCTGAACCCTGAACAAGGACTTCGGACTTTAACGGGTTTAAGGTTTAAGCGAAACCCTAAACCCTACCCTAAAGCCCTAAACCCTAAACCCTAAACCCTAAACCCTAAGGCCCTAAACCCTCAACACTGTTTACAAAAACTCCCGGCCCTGGCACATGTTGGGCCCCTCGAAGGTCACAATGGTGTCAATCAGGGCGGCGATCGACTCCGAGAAAGGAAGCCTATGAAGCTGGCGAGCTGTTTAGGGTTTAGTGTTTAGGGTTTAGGGTACGCAGAACCCTGAAAACCCTTGAACAAATCAAAATCCTACAACACAAGTACACCCTAAACCCTAAACCCTAAACCTCAAAAGCCTACCGGAGTTCGGAGTTCGGAGGCTGAGGTTCTGCTTCCACAGTGCTCGCGGTGAGGATGGCTGGGGGGTTGCCATTCAAGATACCTGCTAGTTGCTAGGGTTTAGGGTTTAGGGTTTAGGGTTTAGGGTTTAGGCGGTTTGGGTTTGGGTTCCTAAGCTAGCCTACTCCATAAGCATGACTGTGCAAAGCAAACTTGATCAAATACCTGCCCTACACCCCTAAACCATGCCCACATCCCAAGACCACTGAGCCCTAAAACCCCCAAAGCCCTAAACGCGAACCCTAAACCCTAAACCCCAAAACCCTAAACCCAAAAATGCCGAAACCCAAAACCCCTGAACCATAAAGCCCTAAAACCCTAGATCCTAAACCCAAAGCCCCTGAACCCTAAAGCCCCAAACCCCAAAACCCCAAAACCCTGAACCCAAAACCCTTGAACCCCAAAGCACCCAAACCCCTAAACCCTGTAGAGTCCCTAAACCCCCGAACCCTAAAGCCACAAAACCCCAAAACCCCAAAACCCAAAACCCCAAAACCCCAAAACCCCAAAACCCTAAGCCCCAAAACCCCAAAACCCCAAAACCCCAAAACCCCAAAACCCCAAAACCCCAACACCCCAAAACCCCAAAACCCCCAAACCCCAAAACCCCAAAACCCTAAACGCAAAACCCTAAACCCTTGAACCCTAAAGCCACCCTGTATACTCCCTATATACTCCCTAAACCCCCGAACCCTAAAGCCCCACAACCCCAAAACCCTAAGCCCCAAAACCCCAGAACCCAAAAACCCCGAAACCCCAAAACCCTAAAACCCCCCCCCAAAACCCCTGGAAGCAGCGCTGGGAGCACGCAGCCAAGCGACGGCCAGCGCTTCTTGCCTGGGGCGCCCAAAGAGCCCAGAAACCCCTGAATGAAGGTTTAGGGTTGAGGGGTTTAGGGAACCCTAATCCCTAAACCCTAAACCCTAACCCTAAACTCTAAACCCTAAACCCTAAGCCCTAAACCCTATAATCCTCCAAAAACAAAGGCATGCGAGGGGCCAAAGAAGTACATTCCTGACGTCTTCTCCCTGAAGATGGTCAGGTGCCTGCGCTTCTCGACCTCCAGGGTGTGAAAACAGTTCAGGGTTTAGGGTTCAGGGTTTAGGGTTTAGGGTTTAGGGTGCAGGGTTCAGACTTAGGGGCTTCGGGGTTTAGGTGGATTGGAGGCCTAGGATTTCGGGTTTTCGGTTTAAGGGCTTAGAGGTTAAGGGTTCTAAGTTGGGGGTTTTAGCTTACGGTTCTACCAGCAGGTGTTAAGGCCGAGGTTTAGGTGGTGGTGTGGCGCTGTAGGACGTCCTGTTTGGGGTCTGGAGGTGCATCTCAGTGCAGGCCTTGCCGTCAATCTCGCCTTCCCCGTAGGTGGTCTTGATCCTCAGCATGCGTGCTCTGCAGCTGAGTGCCCCAGCTGAATTGCACAGTTGACACTCGTATCTAGAGGTTCTCGTATTGCTTCTTGTATGGCTGCTCTACCACCGCCGCCAAAACGAACTACTCTTCTTCCACCTCCTGCCCCTCACGCATGCTACGGTTGGTCATGACGACGGCGGGTATCATAATAAGGTGATCGGCAACACAACAGCACAACAGGACATTGTTACGGGGGCCTTAATGATTCGGAATAGGGTTTCTGGGGTTATCAATAGATAATTCTCTAGGGACATAACGGATGACTGTTAGTAAGTATTCCGACCCCTGTACTACTGTTTGCTTAAGAACCCGAAAAATATGAAGCATATTCTTCCCTATACGGGTAATAAGGGGATTATTATTTCATGTTCTTTGGGGGTTCTTAAGCAAGTAGTAGTGTATTAAGTGCAAAGAAGCCACGAGTGCATGCCCTTGATCATCCAGCCGAATCCTGCTGCAGTCATGGGATTCCCTACCCCCCTTTGTCCCCCCTTAAATAACCTTTAATTAGGCTTAATTATCCCGAAAAAGCCTGAAGTTTGGGGGGATTAAGTGTCCCTTTTCTCGCCTTCATTATGGGGGAACCTAGGGGTATAGAGGGGGATAGTAGGAGAACGGAATGATCTGCAGGACTCGAGAGGCCCCAATGAAACCTTAAGCACTATAAAGGCCCTGTACCCCTAAACCTAAACCCCTAACCCTAGACCCTAAACTCTAAACCCCCAGACCCCTAAACCCTGAACCCCTAAACCCCTGACCCTGAACCCTATATAAGACCCTAAACCTCAAGGATGCTTGAGCCTCGTGGAGGTAGACGTATTGTTCGCATGGTTTAGGGCTTAGGGATCAGGGTTTAGGTTTTAGGGTTTAGGGTGTTCACCAGCAAGCCTACGCCGAACCATAGGGTTTAGGGTTTATAGGGTTGAGGGCTTTTTGGGGTTTTGTGGGTTTGTAGGGTTTGTAGGGTTCGTAGGGCTTAGAGAACATGTGCGCAGGAGCTACTCGAGACCCCTAGACCCGGGTTCCCCAGAAACTAAGGGAAGGGAAGGGAAGCCCAGAAATAAAGGAAGGTTTAAGAGGTGAACAAACAGAGCTAGGGTGCATTTAGGGGTCCTAGGCCCTATAAATCCTAAACCCTAAACTCTAAGACCCTAAAGCAGACTTCGCAAGCACCAGGAGGGCTTTGGGTGTACGTGTACTGGTTTAGGGTTTCCGGCCTTCATTTGTTGGGGATTTCAGGGTTGTTAGGGTTTAGGGTTCAGGGATTTCTGCTACGCTCCTGGGATGGGTAGCGGCGCGTGAAGCGTCTGGAAATGGTAGGGATCAGCACCTTCATAGAGAGACTGGGCTTCGGGTCTAGGGCTAGATAAGCTTCATGCGATTGGGGGCCTGTATATGAGGCTTTTTGTTGTGCTTTTGGGGCTTTGGGGGGGTCTAGTGGTCCTCAGTAGCCCAGGAATGAAATGGGCACTCCCAGCACCCATCAGCCTAATCCTAAACCCTAAACCCTCAACTACGCTACACCAGGCTGTTTAGGGCGTTTACATATGTTGCGGGATTGCCGGCATAGGAACGTGCATTAAGTTACCCTGAGAAGCAGCCATACTACCTACTACTGACACATACGACGGTATCCTCTCCTGAGCTTCTTCTTAGCAGCAAATCCTAAACCCTAAAACCCTTTATAAACCCTAAACCCAGTTTGAGTTTACTACAGCATCGGTCCCTCCTTGAATCTTGAACACTCTAAACCCAAAACATACTTTTCGTTAGTAGGGAATGGGGGAATGAGGTACCCTACAAAACCCCTTGAAGGATACATATGTATGTATATATATATGTTCACATACATACATATATATATACACACACGTATATTGTGTTATATTTATTTGTAGGGGGATATAGGGTACCTCATTCCCTCATTCCCTACGAACCAACAGTAAGAAAACTGAGAACTTGCTGAACCCCCAAAATCCCGGTAATATCCCTTAACCTTAAACCCTGAAACCTAAACCCTAACCTGAGCTCCCTAATCCCTAAATGCTAAATTCCTAAACGCTAAAAGGGGATTTGGGGGAGAGGGCTGAGGGTGCGTAACTCCCCTAAATTCCCCAAGCCCCCTGAGCCCTGTTGTGGATGGAGCTACCTTACACGATTTTGGGCTTGTAGATGGGGGTTAGTTAGGGCTTCGGGGTTTTCAAGGGGTTTTGGGGGTTGCAGGGCTTAGGGGGTTTTTTTGAGGCTTTTGCAAGGAACCCTCAACGCCCAAAAATGCAAATAAGGGCGTCTTAGGAAGTCAGAGTCTCGAAAGGAGGGGTGTGATCACACTCCGCTCAGACGCTCGCTGAGTGCAGAGCTATTCATGTGCATCTCGCAGCAATGCTGATGGAACTCTGTCTGCCGCATGACGACCACGTAACCTGGACTGGCTTGAAGGTAAACAAGCAAAAGACTTTCGCGGGGAATAAGGAGTTGAGTTAGGATGGCCTTTTTAAAACATATTTCCGAATATGATCCTCTTAAACCCGAACCAGGGAATATGTAAAATACCTCAAGGGCCTACCCAGTGGTGATTAACAGGATGGCTACAGGTCTATGGAACCACGGTTCGGTATAGTCTATCGGGCCTGCTACAGCATGCAGTGCACGATGGAAACGGATGGTACATCATGGGACTCTACAATGGACCCCTGAGACGGTACCCTTGAGTTTTGGGGACCCTTGCTAAGATCCTGAAGGTAGCAGAGGGCCATGTTAGGAGTTGACGGAAGCATTTAGGAGTACAACCTTCTAGGGTTTAGGGTTTAGGGCTTAGGGCTTAGGGTTTAGGGGGACGAGTCTTAGTTCCTGAGTACAGCGGCAACTGTGCTGTCTTTCGGCATGGCAGGGCAGAGGATACGGCGCACCAGACTGCGAAGTGCCCTGGTGGGGGTGCCTGTCTGCAGCCTCATACCTCTCTACTTCTCAGATAACAATTCGGAAAACCTAAACCCTAAACCCGAAACCCTAAACCCTAAACCCTAAACCCTAAACCCTGACTGAGTTAGAGTTAGGGCCTTGTATTTAGAGTCCCCAAAGGGGGACCATATGTCAAGAACTTCACATAGGCCTGGTGCCAGCTAGGGGCCCTCTAGAACTCCCAGGGAAGGCTAGGGTTTGGGGTTTAGGGTTTGGGGTTCAGGGTTCAGGGTTTAGGGTTTAGGGTTTAGGGTATAGGGTTTAGGGTTTCGGTTTTAGGGTTTGGGATGTTTGGTTTGGGGTTAGGGTTTGCGACCAGGCCTTGATGATATCGGGGTCCGCACTATGAATTCAAGGTGTGTTCCTCAATTATGGGATCTTTGGCACTCAGATGAGAAATTCCCCCCGGCAAGTTTTGTGCTGAGGGTCTTTACACTACGAACACTTAATCTGAAGAGCGGCGCCAAACCCGTGAACCCACATCGACCCGAGGCATCTCTGACCAGCGGCTATCGCCAGTCGCCAAGGAAGCCTCCAAGTCTCGACCCGCTTCGAGCTCCCACCTCGGTAGTAGCCCTAAACCCTACACCCTAAACCCTAAACCCTAAGTTTGCAAGGCCGAGACCGATCTAGGGGTCTAGAGAGGGGAAAACGACGACCCAAGCTGCGAGATTGGGCTGCGGCCCTGTAGGCCCTCCCCAAAGGCTCTTAGGGTTTAGGGTTCAGGGTTTAGGGTTTAGGGTTCAGGGTTTAGAGTTAGGGATTCTAGTATACTACCCCAAAAAGGTACTACATAGGAGCTTTTGGGTATAGATCCGAAACAAGAGCTGCAGCCTCAATGTTCAACTAGGGTGCCCCTCTAAACCCTCTGAAAAATATTGCTAAATATGGTCCTCTTAAACCCAACATAAGGGAAAAGATAAGGTATCCCAAGGGCCTACCCAGGTTCAAACAAGAGCTTCCGCAACGCTACCTGCATCGACAGCCATGCGCGTCTAGTCTTCATCCGCCTTGTGGGCTGCGCCAACCGAAAGTAGGAACCCTAGACTCCCATTTTTTAAATTGTCCCTAAACGATACACTAGGCCTGAAAGCCAAAGCGGAAGAACCTCCAGGAACGGTTTTCCCTTAACCCTTAACCCTAAACCCTAAACCTTGACTGCGTGTCCCTGTTGCGCTATATCATATCTCCTAAGGCGAGCAACCTTATGCCTCAAGCCTCGCTCCGACAAAACACACTACGCTCCGAAAGAGAAAGCATCAGTTTACGCAGGGTTTAGGGTTTAGGCTTTAGGGCTTAGGGTCTAGGGTCTAGGGTTTGGCGAACTGCAGGCAAAACGCTGGGGAGGTCTGCCTTCAGCATCGAACCAAATAAAGATACCTCGGTGACGGAGGAGTTGGGCATGTGAGGCTGTGATGTGAATCATCGCGACAAGGGCAAAGCATATGAAGCAATTAGAAGTTTCGTTGTCGCGAAGCACGTACACTCACCATTGCCCCTCGACTGCCCTCGATAGCCTCAACCTGAATATAAAAACCCACTTCATATTATTATTACTACTATATACGGTTATTATTATTATGATTAGTACTATTACGATTACTATTATTGTTACTATTACTCTTTTTATGGTGATAATTAGCAGTTCTGGCTTCAAGTTGCAGTTGCATTTCCCTGAAGGTGTAGGCCCCAGAGCCCAAGTGACAGTGGCAATGCCAAGAACTGCCATGCTCAAACAGAAACGAAGTTTGGGGCTTGGTGCTTTGGTTTTAGGGTTTAGGGTTTAGGGTTAGGGTTTAGGGTTTAGGGCTTGGGGCTTTGGGTTAAGGACGGCATACATGCAGGAACCGACTCGGCAAAACGACGAAGCCGCAAGCCCAAAGCAAAAAAACCTCCCGCCCGAAAACCCTGAAGACCCTCAACCCTGGATTTAGAGATGGATGCCGGTCGAATCTTCCTTGAGCTGAGGAACATTCCTTGCAATTCATAGTCAGGATCTAAGATGACCCCAAACCCTGAACCCTGAACCCTAAACCCCAACCCCCTCCCCACCTCCCTCTCCCACGTCCCTGCTGAGCACCCCTGCGACCCAGTACCTCACGAGCTTCATACGCCCGGATTTGGGCACCTGGGGTTGAGGGTTGAGGGTTTTGAGGGGCTAAAGGGTTTAGGGTTTGGGGCTTAGGGCTTAGGGCTTAGGGTTTAGGGTTTAGGGTTTAGGGTTGGTCAGGTTTGGGGCTTCCGTTAGGGTCACTTTTTCGGAGGTCCCTTTGTAGTCGAGGTTGTCTCCTTCACATATTTCGGCGTGTATGGTTTGATTAGACCCCCTCCTCCCCCAGCTTCCCCTCCCTAAAGCCTAAATCCGAAGGAGGAGGTACTGGGTTCACGCTTACTGCTCTAGAGTTCTTAGTCTTAGGGTCCTGAGATATGCTTTGCAGTTCTAAGGCCATAAAGCTACCGTTTTGGGGGACTTGGTCATTTTTACAAAGGAACCCCAACTGGGTTACCAAGAAACCCCTCAACCCTAAACCCTAAACCCCAAACCCTAAAGCCCGAACATAAAACCCAAACCCCAAACCCCGAACGTAACCCCCCAAGAGAAACTGCCTTTTGGATGTTCCGCTTTGTACAAACAGTCCTTACTAGGGATAATATTTTCGGGGTACTAGAATCCCTATTCAGGACTGTTAGTATAAGGGGAACGTCCCAAGCTACATTCCTTACGCTGGGGGGTCCTTCAGGCGGGATCCCCAAGTAGCTCAGGGACCGCTGCCATGTTAGCCATGCCCGCGAAGCTGGGGTTTTCGTCATGGTTAGAACCCCTACTCAGGGTTGAGGGTTGAGGGTTTGGAAGGTTTTAAGGGTTTAGGGTTTAGGGCTAGGGTTCAGGGTTGAGGGTTTGGAAGGTTTTAAGGGTTTAGAGTCTAGGAGGGTTTGTAGGGTTTAGGGCTTAGGGTTCCCTGCACAGGCGTTCCCCGGGTCGGCGCCCAGCGACCGGCGTGGTGAGGTTCATGTCCCTCCCTAAACCCTAAACCCTAAACCCTAAACCCTAAACCCTGAACCCTAAATGCTAACCCCTAACCCTAAATCCTAAACCCTAAATCCTAAACCCTAAACAGTAAACCCTAAACCCGAAAACCTGTTGAGCGGTCGTTCCCGGCTGGTTTCAAAGACTCATCCGGTTCCAGTGCCCGGGCGATCTAGCAGGCATTCAATAGTGCGGTTTAGGGTTTCGGGTTTAGGGTTCAGGGTTTTAGGGTTTAGGTTTTAGGGTTTTAGGATTTGTTTTTTTTGTTTGATTGTTTTGGGGTTTTAGGGATTTTGGGTTTTAGGCCTTTAGGGTTAAGGGAGAGGGGAGGCAAGTAGACACCAGGTACCAAAGCCTCGTCAAGTATGCCCTAAAAGCCCTGCTCCTTGAGGAGCATCTCGAACTCCAACACCCAAACCCTGAGACCCCTGGTGCCCTCAACTCCTGAAATTCTAAACCCTACACTTCGAAACCCTACAACCTGAACCCCCTGAACTCCTTATCTCCTAATCTCCCACAAACCCAAACCCCCTAAACTCCTGAACTCCAAATCCCCTCAAGCATTGACAGGAGACTCTTGCGTGCTTCCTCGGTGAGCCGGGTCGTGTACGGAATGCGCTGGCCTTGATGTATTGGGCTCTTTAGGGCTGAACGGGTTTGGGTTCAGGGTCTACAATAGTATAGGATGTTTAGGGTTTGGGGAAACGTAGGGGGTACTCGTAAAAAATGGAAGTAGGCAAAGGTTAGTCAGGGAGCTTGGGCAAAGTAGAAACTACCCAAAATACCCTTTGTAATCAAGCAAACTCTAAACCCTTGCGTAACCCGGAGCCCCAAACCCGAAACTCCTACATAACCCGGCTTGGGAGCCATCGGAGTGTTGGGCATTTTGCAACTCGAGCTTTGGCAGGTTATGGGTTTAGGGTGGTGGGGGTTTAGGGTCTGTGGTTTAGACTGTGGAGCTTAAATTTGCTCACTTGCAGTTTCATCGGTAGCGGAAAGAAGGGTTACAGGTGCAAAAATTAGGGGTTTCGGGGTTTAGGGGTTTAGGGTTTAAGGGTTTAGGGGTTTGGGGGTTTGGGGGTTTAGGGATTTAGGGGGTTTAGGGGTTTAGGGTTTAGGGTTTAGGGGTCTAGGGGTTTGGGGGTTTAGGGGTATAGGGCTTGGGGGTTTAGGGTCTAGGGTAAACCTGCTGTCGACCCTGACAATCTCAACCCTCAAGGCCTCCACTTCGTCTTCACTCTGTCAAAGTTGCCCGTCTATGTCATCTATGTGTTGTAAACCCTGAGCTCTAAACTTACCAGCTCTTCCAAGCACATAAATAACAAAAAACAAACAAATAAACAAATTTGTTTATGTATATATATATATATAGGGCTCAAGGGCTGGTATAGGGAAATGTAACTCGAACCCCCGCTGCTCCCCACAAAAAACTACCCCAGCAAGTAGATCTCATTGAGGAACCCCATGCCGGTATTCCCGACAGGAAGTTGGGTTTGGGGATTTCGTGATACGGATCCTTATACAAATGAAGGTCTACTCCTAAACCCTAAGCCCTAAGCCCTAAGCCCTAAGCCCTAAACCCTAAACCCTAAACCCTAACCCCTAAACCCTAAACCCTAAACCCCACACCCTTCGCTCCGAGCTGCAGTGGCCGTGCCGATCGAAGTCCCAGCCGTGGAAAGGGCAGCGGATGCTGTTGCCAACCACCTGGTCATTGGTTTCCCCCAAAGAGCCCCATACCCCTTGGTTTAGTGTTTAGGGTTTAGGGTTCAGGGTTTAGGGTTTAGGGTTTAGGGTTTAGGGTTTAGGGTTTAGGGTTTAGGGTTTAGGGTTTAAGGAATATTAACCACCTGGCCATTGGTTTTCCCAAAGAGCCCAATACCCCTTCATTAAGGAATATTAACACCTGCTCATTGGTTTTCCCCAAAAGCCCAAAGACCCCTCAATTAAGGAATATTTCCTGAAATCATACGAAGGATCGCTTTGTAGTTTAAGGTCTATTCCTTGATTAAGGGGTATTGGGCTCTCTGATTTTCTAGGGCTTTCAATTGTTTACAGGTTTTCAGGGATCTGATTGTAGATCGCTCTCCACAATGCCAGGCGCCTCGAAATGGAACCACTTCTTCGGGAGAGGTGGTGTGGAGACCTAAAACACCCAAAGAGACCTCCCTCTGAAACACTCACAACTTGGCTGCACTCAGGAGGGTAGCTATAAATTAAACTTTTAGCTGCCTTAATAAGAAACCCAATAAACCCCAAAAAGGTAAGGATCTAAAGTTACAGTAAAGTACCACAAAGACAACCCTCGACCCAAGAGCAACCTAGGAATGCAAAAACGGTGCCCTTGTGGTTTACAACGGCTCAGAAGGGAACCTCAAACCAACCCTGCTTGCAGCATTCTACTCATCGCAGCATTCGGTTCGTAGCAGAGACAGCCAATTCTCTGAACGATCTTCCCCTTCTGGGTATTCTAAACCCTAAACCTTAAACCTTAGACCCTAAACCCTAAACCCTAAACCCCAACCTCTCAAGCTAGTAAACTGACCCCATCAACCCGAGACTGCTACGCTCCCATTAGGCCGGTTTAGGGTTTATAGGGTTTAGGGTTTAGGATTTAGGGTTTAGGGTTTAGGGTTTAGGGTCTAGGGTTTAGGGTCTAGGGTTTAGGGTTTACTACTGGGGCTTAGGGCGCTAAGGCTTTGGTGTCCTTACCTGACACCCCCCCAAAACCTGCAGCACACCCCAATTCCCGAAAACCCTAAACTCGAAACCCCAAAAACCTGAAGCCCTGAACTCGAAACCCCAAAACCCTGAACCCCTGAACTCGAAACCCCACAGCCTGAACCCCTAAACTCGAAACCCCCCCCAAACCTAAACCCTTAACCATACACTCTGAAACCTTAAACTCGAAACCCCACACCCTAAACCAAACCCAAACCCTATATATACTCCCTTACAACCTTGATAACAACAATATGTTAAATATCCTCTTGGGTTTTATATAAACAAAATAGAACCCTAAACCCTAAACCCTAAACCCTAAACCCTAATTAAACCCTAAACCCTATAATTCCCAAGGGGGGATATAGAAACCAGCCCGGAAGCCTGGCCACCAGCGCCCAGGTGGGCGCCCATGTGCGGGCAAAACGCATCGAGCACGGCCACCTTTCAGCCCTAGTCCCTGAGGGTGCAGGGTTTAGGGTTTAGGGTTTAGGACTGTAGGGTTTAGGGCTTTAGGGTTTTGCGGGTTTTAGGGTTTTAGGGCTTAGGGCAGCCGCCGGCTTTCGCTCGGGCTGTTCCATGAGGTAGGGCGTTTTTGATGCTCATATTGAAGTAGGGTTTTATTTCTTGTCTCCCCAAAAGGACACCAGGTACATACACTGACCAATATTAAAAAG